ACTGATCGCGCAACATAGATTAATGTTCAGTGGTACGCGGAAATTATTCGAAAAGCAGTACATACACATGATTGGGTGCAGTAAAAGAAGCATACCTGGAAGAGCTTTTTAAGTTCAGATCCAATTTGTGCATCGTCAATACCAATAGTCGCTTCACAGTAGTTTTCTTGAGAAACTTCAGTTGCCAGGTTGGCACCCATAAGAGCTGCACAAGGTATTTTCAGTATTTCTCTAATGCAATCCGTTAGTAGTCGGATCCCATGGTCGTCGCTGAGGGCTAGACCCTGAAAAATGTACAAAAACAGGAAATGAATGCGGTACTTTAACTTTCGAAATATCACAAGATTTAGACGATGTAGTTTATACTCCAAACTGGTAGATAAGACACTGACTAAACAGCTTTGAAATGGTATCAAGCTAGCAAGGATATGCGGCCACAAATAAATACCATGGAGTGAATCACTCTAAAAACGTGACAAACAAAACCTTTGTAACTATTTGCATACAAAGAGACAAACCCCGAAAATGACCGCTTCATAAAAGCAAATGATTGGAGTGCAATCACCTCATTGTATAAAGGAAAATCCTAGAGTATGTGAACCTAAGAAGCGGATGAAGATAACTAATAGCTTGCATTATAAGTTTCAAAACTTACTTCACACACCATGGCAGAGTATGAAGCACTCCCTGATATAGGAACCATTCAGAAGCCAATCAATATCAACAAGGGGTCGGGCAATACCGCAATTCATGTTGCTACACTTTATGGCAGAACAGATGCAGATACACATAATATCAAGGTGGACCTTCGCACACAAGTGCATCGGCTCAAGTTGCCATATTTTTTAGTAACACTCAAATAACTGGTTAGAAAAGACTGAAACTAGAGTTGACAAATGTGTGTGGAGGGAGAGAAACTTTAAAAACCAAGGTTAGTAGAAAGATTCAAGCTTCAGAAGATATCAGAGTCAATACAAGTTTACCATTGCAACCGATTGTCAATCACCTCAACAAGAGTTGTTAATCACTGATTCCTATCGTGTCAGGGACCCCAGCAAGGCAGTCTACACCCCGTACACGGACCAGAACAAATCAGGGACTTAATGGACTAGTGTCACATTTTAGTCCCAACTTGAACCCTTTTCCAACCTAATCCAACTTCCTCCAGCACTGAACCTCGAGGTAGGCGGTGGCTTGGGATGCGCAACACATGTCTAAGCCACCTCAGTTCACGTCGATCAACTTGCCTTCCTTATCCAGAACCCTCCACTTGACCTCAGCATTTCTTACATTGGTCCCACCATACGCGACTAGTGATACGAAGACGCCTGTAGTAAAAAACTAGTGACCTTTTCATAATATCTTCTACTTTTAACGGTCGTCTAACAGGACAGAATGAACTGTAGTGCAGTATATCAGTCCTTTGATAGGTAGTCGAATATCTCGACGCCATCACAGATGACACCAGTTGGCAAGTGCCAAATGGCTTGCTGTATCCTAGCTGAGATATCGTCGGCAACAGGAAGATGCAATGCAGCAAGATGAATGAGAGAAACAGGAATAAAATGTGATCTAATTACCAGAAGGCGGTACGAATGCACAAATGTAAAATGATGGATAAAATGATACCCCTAGCCAGATATGACAAGGTTGATTAATTTTAATGAAACAACCCATATGTACGAATTTCAGAATATCTTAATCATGCTGCCAGGCTACGGAAGCACTCTCCAATATTAGGAATATACAACTTTATGGTCCTGAACTGCATCGAAATCGGTTAACTCTACCTGACGTAAGTGAAGTCAGGTGGCTCAGATGAGTACTTGTGGCGAGTTACCACGATACGAATTGTGTACTGCTAAAGGATGAATAGTTAGTCCCAAACCAACTAACGATGAACCGCAGGATGATTAATGCAGTTTCAAAAGTCTACAAAAGCTGAGCGAAAGAATCCCGTAGATCGTTATATTCTAAGCTGTTATGCATCCGCATGAAAAGCATTACTGAGAATGTCATCGTCCACCAGCAACGTTAAGAAACATACTTTGACCGGTGACATGCTTAGGAGTCCACCATACATGTTTGTCGTTGTAAGACCATAAATGTAACACTAAGCTAAGCTGGTGGGATAAATCTGCCTGTGACAAACTGCCAAGAAACATTATACCCAACTTTGGTAGGGTTTTGTTGATGGAGGTACAATGAAGTATTCAGGAAAGAAAGCACTGCAACTTTATTCTATCCAATAGGGTGTTATTGAAGTAGTGGCTGAAATTAAAGTGCTGCGAACTTACAGTCGCTGCATCCTATGGACCCACAGGAAAAGAGATCTCAGTAGATTACCACCCAACTGACAAACAATCTTTCACTACATTTGACATTCTCTAATGCTCGCAGATATTTTTCCAAAAGCTCCAGAAGCTTCGGGGTGCAGACGAACGGCTTGGCAATTGACAAATATTTCAAACTGAAAATCCAAGGAATGGTAATTCGCTACTCCCAACACACTAAGTTTAATATCTCAGCCTAGGAAGGAGATTCGTAGTGCTTACTCACCATGAAAACCACCACTTTCAGGCATATATTAATTACTGTATGCAATGGGACTCACATTTCATTAAAAAAAAAACTACACATGGATTCAAAAAGATCAAATTAAGACACCTTCATCAAGGAAACAGCGTATGCACTTGGTTTAACGTCAGATTTCATTGCAGAAAGTGTCTTATCAAGAAACTGGTGGGGCATAACAATCACAAGAACATCTGCGTCGCGAGCTACTGAAGATACGTCTGGAATGGCAACAACGTTATCCGGCAGTTTAACACCAGGCAAATACTTCACGTTTTCATGTGTTGTGTTGATTATTTCTGTCAGCTTGCGATCATCTATCATTTCTTCATGCACCCACATTCGAACCTGGAACTCACGAGATGACTAGAATATATTACCTCTGGCGTATACTCCGTAAAACTCTTTACATTGTTCCCAACGATCTTAGCAATTGTAGAACCCCAATTGCCAGAACCAATGATCGACACACGCCTCAGAGTCATATTTCACGAAGTCTGCCAAATAATCAAATGGCCTCGTTGAAAACATATTTCAACCTAGAGCAGTATAACAATAGAATATCCAAACATTTGTAGGAAATGTTGGAGTTTTTAAATAAGAAAACACCTCGATGCTGCACAATTATTTAAATGTGAATCAGTTCAGCTTTTCTTCCACAGTAATCTTGTAGCGTCACACACTTCCCCAAAATCAATAGCCTAGGGTTTGACGACTTTCGACATCGATGCTCACCTTGATAGTTTGACTGGACTCGCTAAGCTGAAGGCACCCGGTCAAGCATCCTCGCCATTTGGCACGCTGTCATCTTACGTTGCACTGCTCGTATTCGACTCTCTAGCCAGTTAGTTGGAACGCATCGGTATTTTGGCACAACCATCCAAATATACTATTCCATCCGACTACGCCATCGTGTTCTTCCTTGGTCTCGTATTCGTGGGTATATGACAAGTCCGAATAATTAGTGATTGGTCTTTGCGTCTGTCAAGTTCGCACCAGGACAAATCCTAAATTGGTGAGCCCGACGTGATCAAATATCCCGACCAATAACAAGCATTGAATTGGTGAGCCTGTTCCATTTTATATTTGTTTATTGTTTTCATTTCGATAACATTTGTATATCCATCTACTATACTTTCTCATGTCCGACCACACTCCCAAGCTTATTCGTATTAAGCCGACTACGAACACGATCCAACTAGTGGCATATTGGCCAGACAATGCAGAAACATGGTTTTTGTATACCGAGGCCGATTTTCGAGAACAGGGTGTCTCAGATCCTCAATCTCGATTTCTTGCTGTCATCCGGTCGTTACCGCGGGAATTAAACAGGTATGTTATAGCAAACATGTTTAATCCTGAAGTAAGTGACCCTTATGCACTTCTAAAGGCCACACTCTTGAAGAAAAGCGATCTCAGATCGCCAACGTCTAGACGAATTGCTTCGTAACATCGAGCTAGGCAGCCACTCAGCTATTGAAGTCCTCGCACGAACGCGAGAAGTTATGGGTGCACGAACATTCGACGATGGCCTTTTCCGAGAACTATCTCTCTCAAAACTATCACAACCGGTGCAAACCGTGTTGGTGACACTGCAGTCAGTTCCGCTCGATGACTTGGCAGCCTCAGCAGATAAAATACTGGAGATTTCTAGCAGACTCGTCTCCAACGTATATTCTGTCTGCGACAAACCAGAGAGCCAGGATTCAGAGGCGACCAAGCTGCGCAACTCTGTGAGACGGTTGCTACGATCTCGAAGTACTAGTTCATGTAGCACTCCACAGAAACGCGTCTTAGTGCATCGCAGCAACTCGCGTGGTTGCCCCAAAACTAAATCTGATAGGGTGGAAAACCCTGAATGGTGCTGGTTTCACAACACTTACGGAGACGAAGCCAGAAAATGTCGAAAATCATGCAGTTTTAACAAGGACACAAACTTGGGAAACAGTCACGCTGGCACGTGCTCACGGCAACCGTAGCCAGCGGAAACAGCCGTTTCCTCTACGTCACAGATAGTAAAACGAAAGTTCGCTACCTCGTCGACACCGGCGCAGAAGTTAGCGTTCTTCCCACACCGACAGAGGAGCGTCAGCATGACCCGTCCTTCAATCTCCAAGCAGCCAACGGCAAGGCAATCGCGACATTTGTGAGACGGTATGCCTACCTCAACTTAGGTTTACGTAAACCTATCCACTGGCTTTTCCTGCTGGCTGACGTCTCTATGCCCATCACTGGCGTAGATTTGCCAAACCATTACGGCCTACTCGTAGATGCTCGCCGTCGACCTCTGGTGGATAACAACACAAAGTTATCTATTGGCGGCACCATCTATGCAGGTCCGAGTTTAACCCTCGTTAGAACCGAACAATCAGGCGACGCGTCCTACCAAGCAGTTTTGGAGAAGTATCCAGAGTTGCAGCAACTGAAACACACTCTTCCGTGCATAACCAGCAGTGTTATGCATCACGTGACAACCACAGGTTCACCTGTGGCATCCAAAGCACGCCGTCTAGCCCCCCATAGGCTCAAGACAGCGAAAAGCGAATTCGACCACATGCTCGGACTGGGCATTATGAAATCGTCAAACAGCCTTTGGGCATCGCCATTGCACATGGTTCCCAAAAAGGATAGCAACGACTGGCGCCCAACCGGGGACCTTTCACGTCTATGGACCACTCTTCGCCTACCAGGTGAGTTTGTTTCCCCTTCAACTTTCAAACATGTTTCCGACAGGGCATCGTACGTGACTGGGCTTACAAACTCAATGCGTTCAGTTAGGCCTTCTCCAGTTACACCTCGAACGACTGGTGTCTTCGTTCACCCCAGTTTACAAAAGACATCACACGTGTTTATTCGCCACGACGCTGTTCGTCGACCACTTGAACCACCCTACGACAGGCCGTTCAAAGTGATTAAGCGACATGAGAAATTCTATATAATTGAGCGAGGCGGACGTGAAGATACTGTCAGTATCGACCGTTTGAAACCAGCTTATTTCGAAGGCAACCCCATTATAAGTGACGTTTCAGCTCGCTACAGCCGACCGACGGGTAGCTCAGTTATCGAAATTCTTGACGATGTGCCTGGCAATGCAGTTGCAACAACCATTGGCGCAACAGAAAACACGATCAGGTCGAACCGTCAGGTTCCCGGAGTATTTAAAGTCGTATTCAACTTAGTGGTGTGAAATAAAATGTGCCAACCATATTTTTTTTACTTACAGATTCTTTCCCGAGGCACTATTTTTCTTATTTACCGGCAATGCGCAAACACTCGTACATTCTGCCTTTTTATATCAGTTTTTATTACCACGTAACGAAACTTTTAAAAAAAGGTGAAAATAAGCGTAAATTTTTATTTTTCGATATGTTTATATATAAATAACTCCCATTTTTACGAAACGTTTTCACGGTATTGAAGACTTTTATTTATATTCCAAGTACAACGAGCACTGGACTGAACGTTAAAAGAAACTGAGGATCGCGATCGACGTACAATTCGATTTATTGTATTTTATTATTTAATTGCCACGACACCTTAGAATAAGTTCAGACAACCAGGGGCCAATTCGTGCAGTGAGCCCATCGAAAGAGTTGTACCAGTGGAGAAACCACTGGGTTTTTACTTCCGGTTGGTATCTTCTCAGGGTCCTCATGGACCCACTAGGCGGTGAGTGATCTGTAGCGTCACACACTTCCCCAAAATCAATAGCCTAGGGTTTGACGACTTTCGACATCGATGCTCACCTTGATAGTTTGACTGGACTCGCTAAGCTGAAGGCACCCGGTCAAGCATCCTCGCCATTTGGCACGCTGTCATCTTACGTTGCACTGCTCGTATTCGACTCTCTAGCCAGTTAGTTGGAACGCATCGGTATTTTGGCACAACCATCCAAATATACTATTCCATCCGACTACGCCATCGTGTTCTTCCTTGGTCTCGTATTCGTGGGTATATGACAAGTCCGAATAATTAGTGATTGGTCTTTGCGTCTGTCAAGTTCGCACGAGAACAAATCCTAAATTCTAATACCCATTTTTTTAAAGAAATCGGACAAATGCATTGCTTTATCTGCGCTCAATTCCAGGTCCTGAGGGGTGGTGTCAGTCCCTGGTGGATTATGATTCGTCGGTTCCACCCGCTCGTCTGCGTTAGCAGTGCTATGCCTGGTGTGTGAGTTCGTATGGAATAAATTTGTAGTGGTTGTGTGATTTGTCCAAGGACAGCGGCGCAGATGGTTTCTTCAAATATTGGCAGCAGACGGATGCCTGAACCGTTTACATACATAACTTTGGAGGAATGGAATGATTTTCAGTGAAGGAAGAAGTGAGAAAAAACAAGTTGAAAAGAAGTAGTACTGTAGGAATAGACAAATCTATTTGGATAAATTATGAAGACGAGAAGGAGAGCTGTCACGTGCAGCACCTCGATAAATAAGGCGAAATCATAGTGTTAGAGGGGTGATAAGATGCAGGAAGGGTTATGGTAGGGAAAACGCAAATGGAAATAGTATTGTTATCAGGGTTAGTGTGGAAAGTGGTGGTAAGACTTCTAACGGTGAAGTATTAGGTTTATTCAGACTCATGATGATAGTGGCAGCGCATATAAGTCGTCACTGGGTTGACTGTGTTGTAATGAAGCGTAATTACCTGGGACTTTTAGCCTAGTCCATATCTACATTGAATGAGTCCAAGCCATGTGCCTCTTTGTGGGTATTCAAACTTTTGCCGAAGTTGTCAATAGGCGGAGTAGTAACAATCTCCGCAAACAATAAGTTACAGTGGCCGCGAACTTGCGGAAAAGGTTTGGATGCCTGCTGGCTCTCGCGCTCTGACTTCCGGTTCTCACTAGGTTCCCACAAGGGCTGCCACAGTCACCGGTTGACTTCGGTAACTTCGTGTCTTGTAAGGTCCTATCAAGCCATAACTTAACTAGGAGGGTAAAGGCTTAGATCCTTCTGTCTTTCTCTGTTTGGTTTTCGTAGCATCTCCACAGCACCCTTCGTTGCCCATCTCTGGACTTTCCCAATGAAGTTCACATCTTCTTTCAGGTGTGGTGATACAGTGACATCTTGGGCCTCCACCTGAGGTCGTATATAGGTTTTGCAGAGCTTCAAAAATGTCCCGGGTTGAGGGTATCTAGTTATCTGTACAGGCAACGCAGTATTGAGCAAGCTCTGGAGACATATCATGTGTAACTGGGAATAGTTTCCAACTGGCCAGCTGGCATCAGTCCCACGTATTTCTTCGTGGTCATACGGAACGGTTGCGCGCCACGGAGAGAACGGGGTACTTTTCGCCAGTCGGGAGTAGGGAGAAACATAGCTCACTACTTATCCATGTCAAATGTCGGCCCGTTGTTACCCACCCATTCTACAAGGAATCTGAAACTGCTTTGTAGTGCGCCTGGTTGAGTTTCTGAATTCGAAGCCCTCCATAACCTTTAGTGCATCTTTCTGGCACCGAAATGCAAATAAAGTTAAAACAAACAGATCAAAGTGAGTT